AATAAAATCCAGTTTGTGTAGTTTGTATCAGAAAAATCCTAGTGAAATGCTTTGGTTACTGGAAAAAATAAAAGAAAAGCTAATTTCCATTGAAATTATAGTAGTAGGTTTAATTAAGAGTAGATCAAAATAAAGGGGTCTCAAAGCCAAACTATACAATACAGAAGCAGTGTTTTAAACATCAAGTCGATGTCTGAATAAAGACATTTTATATACTCTGTGCAAAATCAGCACTGTGGAGCATTTCTAACAAAGGGTAGCTTGATAAATGTGTAACACAAGCTAATGTTTTTTAAGATTACACTCCATATTCTGTAACTATTTAACAGAATTAATTGCTTGTGATGTAATAAGACTAAAAATCAAAGATCTGGTTTATTCTTTGTGAAATATTTCTTTTAATTTATATTACCCAATTTTAATATCCTTAGGTAATGTTAAGGAGTACGTGAAGTATCCTAAAAGTATCCTCATCCTTGTTATTTAGTCTGTAAATCCCTGAGTTACTAGCCCTGTTAATATACACTTAAATCCAAATTTACGAGCAATCTATATCTCCACATTGGGAATCAAAAAGATGTTCACAGCTCACAAAATATGTTGATTAACTTGTGATTCAAAAAGTATGGTTGGATCCATTCTTAGTACAGCTAGGGCCAATACCGTTTTCCCTTTTAGGAGCTAGGAGCAGGATTTCGTCCTTTAGGCTTAGCTTGGTCCATGTTAACATACCCATGGGGACAGTGGAAACCCCAAGCAGAGGTACTGCACAGTACTTGTGGCAGCAGAATATCTTGGCCATGTATAATACCAGCAACTCCACCTTCATCAACCAGTATGAAGCCACCACTGCACTACCTTTGGTTTGCTACAGATAAGGATATTGACTGTGCAGCAGGCTGGGAAATGGACTGGACTAGGGCCACAGAAAGCAAAGAACAGACCTGCCTTGGTTCTAGGACCCCCTTATCACCCATACTGTACAAGCTACAGGCATTCAGAGCAGACATGCTGGCTTAGAAGTGTTATTCTGACCAGGAGCAACAGACCTTGCACAACAGCAGGCCAGTACAGAGTCTGCCAGGAACTGAAGAACCACTATGAGGCAGTGCCACGTGTGCCCTAGTTCCCAGTCTCCTACATCTCCTTTAAATTCACTGTAGGCAGATATACATTATCAGTGTAAATATCTATGGCATGGGCAATGTGTAGATCGTTCTGTGCTTTCAGGTCACGAGGTCTGACTGCAGAATGCTCTATTTCTGCCTCACGACAGTTCAAGAGTGGTGATTTAAAAAAAATATTTTATCAAAAATGTGCATTCATTTTCATCAAAATTTTGAAAATTCAAGACATTTCTGCCAGCTCTAGCCCTGTCTGTTGATGTACATCTGTGCAAGCATTGCCCTCGCCATGACAAGATGACTGCTTTGCATAGGAAGTTCCCGGTGAACTGCCATCAGGGCCTGTATGTCTAATTGCCTCTGAATTCTGGAGGGGGTTGGCTGTCCACACCAGCAATGAGTTTCTACCATAGATATTAAAGCTTATATTGGGCTGTATCACATAGGTTTGCAAAAATATATAGTGCTCTGAAATAAAGGGCTAAAACCATAGAGCTCAGAGATGGGCTAGCTGCCACCAATAGAAACATTATTCATTTAAACAAGCTAAGTCCTAAAATGTTGTTACAAAGTAATGAAATGCCACTGTCAGGCAATAACATCTCTGGACCTTATTGGGAGACCACTTTAAGCCCTGTCTCTAACCCGTCCCACTGGGCTTCATATCTTACTCCATGGCAACTGCATAGTTGAAGCACTTCACAGTAGATTTACTCCATGCCCTAGACAAATCAATTAGTTACTTATGGTCTGATTTTGAAAAATGCTGATCACTTGCATTTCCTACTGAATCAACTGACATTGCAAGTGCTCAGCACATCTTAAAATCAGGCCATTGAACTTTAATTATCATGCAGGAACTCAATTAAAAAGCTACCAAGACTTAACTTCAGTAGCTAACCAAGTCCCCATGGCTTGCAGGGTACCCATATTAACCCACAATTCTAAACCATCTTCTGGGCTCCTGGGGCCATTTAAGCTGATTGCAGGTGAACATCTTGGTGATTTGGTTTAAAGGACAGGATTAACAGCAAAAAATCCATTCCTACTCACCCCTCTATTTTTAAACATTCTGCATGCCTATAAAATTAATATTTGTTGTCTGATCCTTCACTCTCCCTTCTCTCCCCATTCCTCCACCTTTTGCTTCACACTGCAAACATGCCCTTTACATTCCATCACAGAAAGCAGCCTATTCAACCTGCTAGTAGAGGCCTCATATTGTTAATGAAAAGGGCTGCACAAAGAGTGATTACTCTTCCTTTATCTGAAATCTAGCACATCTGACCAACGCAGGGCTCTATACACTTCAGACTTAGGAGGCATACTGCTTTGCCCAGTGCTGCCTGGAATCTCCATAGCAGGCATTCTGCTTTGCCCATTCTTCTCTAAGGCCCCCTCTTTGGCAATAGTGTCAGAGCCAGGGTACAAATGGTGACTTCTCAAGCATACATACATAGTGCCAAAGTAAAGGTTTTCGGTTAAAAGGAAAATATACCTCTCTAGTAATCTTCCTATGACGGTCTACCATGGCTATGTCATTTGCGGCCTGATCCAAAATCCACTCAAGTCAATGGAAAAATTCCCATTGACTTCAGGTCAAGCCCTGTGTAAGGCTGTTGGTTTCAATGAGACTAGAAAAAGAACCTACTTCTGTGCTTTATTCAAGTTGCTATACACATTCTTTATTTGACTATGTGCAGCTTACGTGAGTGTTATATGAACTTCTAAACTCAGCTGAGCGGTGATGCGGCTCCAGCCTTGGAAAGCACATGCGGGTGCTGACAGTTGCTGACTGTGATGGGTTGCTTACCCACATAACCTGAAATCTAAGCTCCCCCATCATCAAGGGGATCAGAGGCTCGTTCATGTGAAACCCATGAACTCTTTTCAACTTTGTGCATCTTGTCATTTAACTAATAAGCCTCCTATTCATAGCTACCAGCAACCAAGGGACTGATCCTGCAACCCTTACCCTTCTGAGTAGCCCCAGCGATATCAATGGCATGACTCACAGGAGTAAAGGAAGACTAAACTATTTGTGTTGCCAACTTGCATGATATTACTGTGTCTCTCATGATATCTAGTGTTTTACTTAGAGCCCCAGCGGATGGAGACAAGTGATTATGTGAGACTCTTGGCTTTCATTTCAAACAAAAAGTCAGGGTGAGATTCTATGCTGAGCCTCTAAGGGTATGTCTCTAGCCCAGGGGAAGGCAAACTTTTTGGCCCGAGGGCCACATCTAGATACGGAAATTGTACAGCGGACCATGAATGGTCACGAAATGGGGGGTTGGAGTGGGTGAGGGCTCCGGCTGGGGGTGCGGGCTCTGGGGTGGGGCCAGAAATGAGTTCAGGGTGCAGGAGGGGGCTCCAGGCTGGGGCAGGGTGTTGGGGTGCAGGCTTTGGGGTGGGGCTGAGGATGAGGAGTTTGGGGTGCAGGAGGACGCTCCAGGCTGGGACTGAGGGGTTTGGAGGGCAGGAGAGGGATCAGGGCTGGGGCAAGAGATTGGGGCATGGGAGGAGGTCAATGGTGTAGGCTCCTGGTGGCGCTTACCTCAAGCAGCTCCCAGAAGCAGCAGCATGCCCCCCCTCCAGCTCCTACGCAAAGGCACGGTCAGGTGACTCTGCGCGCTGCCCTGTCCACAGGTGCTGCCCCTGCAGTTCCCATTGGTCGTGGTTCCCAGCCAATGGGAGCTGTGTGTGGGGGGGGCACTTGGGGCAGGGGAGCATGCAGAGCCCCCTGGCTGTCCCTACGCATAGGAGCCGGAAGGGGGATATGCTTATGCTTCTGGGAGCCGCATGGAGTGGGGCAAGCTCCCGACCCTGCTCCCCAGCTGGAGCAGGGCAAGCCCCAGACTCCACTCTGGGAGCCTGAGGGCCGGATTAAAACGTCTGACAGGCTGGATGCGGCCCGTAGTTCACCCACCCCTGCACTAGCCCCGGGAGCAGCCCAGGATCAGTAGGATGCATATAAACCATTCCTTTGATCTGTGAGCTGCTTAGGGTACGACTAACCTGCAAAAAAGGTGTGTGCTTACCCCAGGGTAGCTAACCCACATTCTCTAACCCAGGTTTAAATAGCAGTAAAGGCACAGGAACTTGACGTTTTGCTCCGGTTAGCAATTTGAGTTCAACCCCAGGCTCTCCTATAGGCTTTAACTCAAGCTGCTAAGCCCAGTAGCCATGTCTTCACTGCTATTTTAACCAGAGTTAGCTAACCCAAGTTAAGAACATACCCTAAGTGACTCAGCACAGAACTCACAGCTCCAGGAACTACAGGTGCCCCCTTCTGATCCTGGGCTACCCCAGGGGCTGGAGGGGCCTTTAGCGGCCTTCCCAAGTTACTCTATAGGTCACATTGCTGCCTGGAATCTCCATAGCACTGCATGCTGTGGCCCTGCTCCCACACATACCCTATATACACCTGGGAATTGTGAAAGGGTCCTTGAGAGAAAGTCTTATGGCTGTCTGCCCCAGTGCCTACACTGGAAAACATTTCCTTTGTCTGCATACAGGGCTTTTCGAGCCGTTGTACTGGGTAAAGGAGCAGTGTAGAGGCTGGAGTGGGGGTGAGGACGTCACCCTAAGTTTCAAGCCCTCATGACTGTGGAGGGAAGTTTGAAAATGTAACCTGACTACAGCCTGAAAGCTCAAACCCAGAAGACAAATAAAAAAGAACCTAAAATGTATTGTTTAAAATGTTTTTATTTTTAAGCCAAACTCATGATTTTTGAATGTTTGGGGCTGTCAATACTGGTGCAGCTAACAGGTTCCCTTTATCCAATTGTTCCCTGTATGTTGGATGAGAGAATCAGAAATATTGTCAGTATTTATTTGTTTTTTTTCTCTCTTCCTTTTTTAATCTTTCTCCAGTCTCTAGTGAAGGTGAATGTGAAACTGAAGCCCATGTTGGACTCTGTGGCAGTGAACAGGGGTAAATGGGAGGAGCTGCACCAGAAAACACTTCTCTCCCAGACAGTACCCTCCTCCTCATCTTCCAGCTTTACTTTGTCTCTTGAAGACATACATTAAGCCTGCAAACGTCAGCTGCTGTTATGATGACAGATGTCTGAAAGGCAGAGTTGTAAGCTTAGTCACATCATTTTTAAAAAATGCTTCCACAGACATGATTAATTGATTGGATATAATTTTGCTGGCCATGGCTTTTACGTAGGAGTTCAGTTGGTCTGAAAAGAAGGCCTGTAATAAGATGATGCTGATATCTGGAGTCACATGGAAGATACAGCACAAGAAGTAGTCATTCAGCTCCACCACATTTCAACTGCTGCTGTAATAAAAACCAAAACACACACACACACACACACACACACGCCAGATTGAAATATAAGAACTTACAGCTTAATAAAACTAATAATACAGAGCAGACTTGGAATGCACATTTATCAATGCATATGCAAGGAGCTGCAGGAAAACAGAATAGTGTGTAATTACTTTGTTGTTTTGCATATTTTCAGTATTTGTTATGAACCAATTATGCCTGCTTTTGTAATGTTTCTCTCATTCTTCCTTCCTCTTTTATGCTTGAGTGTTCTGAAAAGCCTGCTTTGTATTCTACAGAAGTATTTTTTTACAACAAAGCTTCTTAGTGATTGATCAGGGCCTTTAGAATTGCCTGTCTTCGCTACATTTAAAAACAAACTTTATTATCTTTAAAAATACCAACCTGTCCGAGCTCCCTTAAGATATTCATATTAACAATGCAGTGAATTACTTTGCAGGTGGAAATTTGTATAAAGGCAAAAATTATTGCATGGTAATTTGGGTTCATTTTTTTAGAAATACTATTTTAAAGCATTCATTTTTTAAGTTGCACTGTCCCCCAAGGAAAGGACTAATGGCCTTTAATGAAAATAGGATAAAAAGGAAATGTATTGCCTTGTACTAGAGAATCTGCATTGAAGAATTTACTATGGATGTGTCTTTCTGATATAATTTTCTACAGAGATGAATATTTTGACTGTTACACATAAGAAATGGCGGGGGGCAATAGAGTACCATCACACTGGATATTGACTACCTCTTATTTCTCTTATCATCTCTTTTGCCCTATTACAGCTAGCAGAAAGCAAATCCAAGGTCACATATCTGATAAACAGTTGTACATAAAATTTTAATCAATTGTGATAGATCAAGAATTCAAACAGGTCTAGTTCTCAGTGACCACACTAGCACAAGAAAGTTGGCCTCTTCCAGTTAGTGCAGAGATCCTTGGGAAAACAGCTCTGTAATCTGAGACTGCTTGCTCTATTCTAAGCACCTGAATACAAGAGGATGCATGATAGAATGCTTCCCACCTTTAGGGCTTCTTAAGCGTGAAACTGCCCTATTGAGGAAAAAAGAGAGTTACTATGGTCATCAGTTATTGGAGACCATGACAACGTCATTTTGAAACTAGGAATGCCTACCACTAGGTAAAAACAGCATAATAAATTAAAGCCAGATTCTGATCTCTTTTACCCTGGTGTCAAACCAGAATAACTCCTCTGACTTCAGTGGAGATACTCTGGATTTTCATTGGTATAACTGAAATCAGAATAACGCATAGGACCAGATTTTCTAAAGAGCCAACTACCATCCTCGCCTACCTGGGCATCTAAATCAGGTGGGCACTGAGCACTTTTGAAAATCTGACCATCACTAACTAATTGACAATTTTAAAAAAGATGTCCGTTTATTAAAATACTTTGTACGACTTATAATTTGTGTAGACATTAGAATGCCTCTAGATTCCAGAACCACTGCAAGAAAATCTAGTTATCTAAACTACTGAACCATATCATGTTTGCTACCAAAGAGAAGGGGGGGGAAGGGGAAATCTATGCTATACAGAGATGAATACCTGCACTGTATGAACTTGTTTCTGTTACCTCTCCACCTCCTCACTCCTTCCCCAGTAATGAAAAGGCTGCGATAGTCTGCTGCAAACCTGTATAAAACTTATTTATAGAATATTCGCTTTATGGGAAAAGCAGAGACCATTACTGACTTGGTACTGCTGGCAGCTATACATAGCTTTCCTGAATTTTGATATTGCATATTGGTAAGTGTACCATAATTTAAAGTACATATCCTATAGCTTCCTCCAAGGTTGAGTTTTCTCTCATTTCCTTTCCTTTTTACTGGCTTCAGTGCACTGTTGCCCATAGCAACACCCACTGGCAGTGATGGGAATTCAACACTGCTGCAACCTGACATACAGTTAAGGCCTTAACAATGTCAACCATCAATCAAATGGCTATTTGTAATTGCCTCCATCTATTTCTCCTGTCTTGTTGTATCTTTTCTATTGTGGGTCAAAATTCAGAAACTGCTGACTAATGCAATGGTTCTATTCCTCCACAACAAGAAAGCAAATGAAAAAGTGTAACAAGATCCTCATCAAATTCTGCTTTCAAACACATTGATGCAATTCTGTTGAAATCAGTAGGGTTGTACTTACTGGTGGAAGTGAGAACAGAATTTGACCACTAGTGTTTTTAAGATTGAAATACTAACGTCTTGAGGGGGAAAAAAATATCTTATCACTAAAGTTTTCACACTTTTAGCTCAAAATCCTGGCAACACATTTGCATTTTTTCAGAAATGGGGGAAGATTCGATACTGGTTCTCAAACTTAAGATGGTGTCAGGGACCTTTTTCACTGTGCGTCAGCTTCATTTATAAAGGTTTTGGTGTTTGTTGATTGGTGCAAAAACAGCTTTTCTAGAGAAACTGAAACTTTGCCTGAACTTAAATCTGTTTTGTAAGCTTATTCTAGGAAAAAATTGCAAGAGAGATCACTGAAAAGTGTAGAATAAGGGCCAAATCCTGCAGTCCAGGCTCAGTTCCCTGCCCTTCACAGGTGCAGAGATCCAGCTGGGTTCCACTGCAAAAGTGGGAGGAGCAGATGGGGGAGGGAAGGCTTGTAGGGAGTGTATATCCCTTACCTGTTCGCAATGACACAGGGAATCTATGGGGGTCAATGGGGGGTTAGCAGGACACAGGTGGGGCAGAGGATGATCGATTGGTACCCAGAAAGGGGGGCTACTGTCAGTACTCCCTCTAATTTTTCCCACACATGTGCAGAATGAATTTTGTTATGTACAGCAATATGTAGGTGATGTGTGACACATCACCTTCATATTGGTGCACATAACAAAATTCATATGGTGGGGCCGAGGGGTTCGGAGTGGGCTCAGGGCTGTGGCAGACAGTTGGGGTGTGAGGGCTCCAGGTGGGGGGTGGGGCTGGGGATGAGAGGTTTGGGGTGCAGGAGGGTGGTCCAGGGCTACAGCAGGGAAAGAGGACTCCCCCCAGCTCTCTCTCCCCGGAGCAGCACCTGGGCTGGAGGGGGCGGGGGGAAGGGCACGTCTCCCCACCATGGCACCTCCATGGCTGTGTGATAGGCATCCCTCCCCCAGCCGCGGCATGTCTGGGTTTGGGCTGGGAGAGGGACACCCCTCCCCCAGCAGGTCCGGGCTAGGGCTGGATTCAGGCCATCCTCCCCCAGCCTCAGCAGGTCCTGGCCAGGGCTGGGTTTGGGCCACCCCTCCTCTGGCTGCGGCAAGTCCCGGCCGGGGCTGGGTTCAGGCCGGTCCTTCCCCTGGTGGGGCTGGGGCACCCCTCCCCCGGCTGCAGCACGTCCGGGGCTGAGTTGGGGCTGGAGGAGGGGCGTCCCGGCCACGGCAGGTCTGGGCGGGCTGGGTTCAGGCTGCCCCTCATCCGGCAGCTTAGGGGCCAGGCTAGGTTGGGGCCAGGGGAGGGGCGCCTCTCCCCTGACCATGGCAGGTTCCCTGAGCGGTGCTAAATAGGCTGCTGCACGGCCGTGCAGCTTACAGGGAACTTAGGCTACTATAGCCTTGCTCAGCCCATTCCCCAGCCTTCCTGTGGAGACACCCACACACAGCTCAGTAGCCACACCGGGCAGTGAGAGTTCTCAGTCATTTGTCCCCATCTTCAATGACAATTTTGCCAGAGTAAAGACTATGATTTGCCTGTAAAGTATTTGTGGCCCCTAACAACAAGGTGCTGAACACCCTTAATTCATGTTAAAGTCAGTGGGAGCTGTGGATGCTTAATTCCTCCCAGGAGGTGCTTAGTACTTAGCAGGATCTGGGCTCCGGCCCACGGTTATTTACAAAAGTTGGAATGTGTTGATTAGTAGGATTTGTGCCCATCAAATAAAGAAATGATAAATTATACTATAGATGAGTATATTCCATTTTAGCTCAGGTATTCATTGTCACTGGAAAAGCAGCTGCATTTTCTGGCCTGGTGACCTTCTTAACCTACTTCTAGTGCACTGCATGTTTATGAACGTGCCTAATTATCAACAAAGCCAATACCAGTATTCACAAAACACTTTTGAAAACTGCAGCCAGCAGTGCCTGATATAAAAAATAATTAGCAGGATTTAGACAGTTCACTAATTCATGCTAACATAAATAAGAACGTTTCAGTATACATACCGAATGTGTTAGTTGGCCTTTAGTAAAATTAAGGAATTTCTAGGTATAGCTAGATATTTTGTGTATTTATTAAAATTTTAGGACTAGCTTTAAGGTTTCATGATTACATAAAACATCTGTCAGAACAAAATTAACAGAAGGCACTTCCAGTGCTCAGAGTATCAGGAAATGGGAAGTAAGAAAATGATACTGGCCTTGCTCAAAGAACATATTAAAATGATCTGGATTGGTTCTACCAAACAATGAACAGAACAAGATGTAAATTAGCTAAAATAAAAGGGTCCAGAAGTTATCATCAGTGATGTCCTATTGAATTTGACAATTCTGGGATACATTCTATATATTACCTGTTACCTTTTCCTTCTCGGTTTTGGATTATGAACCTTTTGGATTTAATTTTTAGTTTATGAGCATGTTGGACATTGCATCTTTCAACTCTATGGGAAATACTGTTGTAAACAATCAATAAGTCTGTGTGAGACACATTATACACTTGAACAGACATATAAAATGTATTTTTTTCTACAGTAAATGGAGTCTATGTACTGTAAAAATGCATAACTTGGGACTGAAATAGTTTCCTTTCTGTTTCCTATTGTAATTCCATTTCCCTCATTGTTTTGCTTTAGTTTTTGTCAAAGAATTCTGAATCAACTTTTAAAAAAAGCATGTTTTTGAAATGGATAAATTGGTTTTGTTTTATTTGTCTCACTATTAATTAATAAATCACTTTAATGCTATCCTGTAATTTCATTCTTTTTCAGTGAGGCCTATCTAATTATCAGGGCCTCATCTACTAATTACTCATTCACAC